AGTTTGATGCACAGATAACAGTTTTGCGAGTACGACTACTGGTACTTGCCGAGTACTTACAAGTACGAGTACTGATACATTTTTGTTTATTGTCATTTGACAGTTTTTCTAAAACAATACCGACTAATGATTTCAGGACAGTGGTGGGGAGCCAGAGCCAGGTCCCAGCTGCAACCGCTGCAACTCTGGTAGTTCTCATGAAAATGCCAAGTATCTGCACTGGTACTCGAAAAGTATCTGTGCATCCCTACATATATATATTTAGTATCTATTATATTATCTGTAAAACTTCCAACAATTGGTATTTTTAGATTGTTTTATAAATAGCTTAGTATAGCAATTATTGCTGCACTCTGCATGGTATAAGCACTCAACAAAGTCAACAAAGGGCTAGTTAAAGCAAGCACATGTTTTATAGCAAACGCTTGCAAACAGGTGTAAAAGCAGAACAAGGCCCTGTACATGCTTGATACAACAAATGGATTTCTTTTTTGTACCAGGAGGGGAAAGCGGGAATCTACAGTCTTCAGCCACAGGTGAATAAAGATGGCTATTCATAAGCCCTTAACCTTTTCTACAGGTTTTACCCATTTATATTTGCTGTACAATATTATAAATCAGAGACAGCCAGGGGAAAAATGATGTTGTCTTCTTTAATATGCAGTGATTCCAATGGGCTATTTCTTTCCACCAACCAATGGCCCAAGGAAGGAGATGATGACTACATATCATGTAAGCTACAAAGGCAGTGACTCATCTAAGAAGTCCTGGTATCTGCTGTTAATGTTACTAACACTTGTGCAGAGGTGTCAAAACAAGGCACAAATAAAAAGAAATAGGAAGTCAAACATTTAGGTTTGTGCATTGGGACTGTTCCCTATTACCATGCTGTTCCAGTTCACAAGTCCTTTATGGTCTCCAAAAGTCTCTATGGTATTGTTTTTGGATCATAGGATGGTTTTAATTATTTCTATTGCAGATTTTTTTGAAATGTAATGCCTCTAATGAAGGTGTATGTAAACTCTGACAATGAGCTTCTCATATTTGCTTCTATGACTTTTGTAAAATATATAGCATTAAAAGTGTTTGGTAAATCTAATGATATTGATATTAATAAGAAACGCAAATGTTACTGCCTTCATGTCATTCTTCTGATCCTTGGCATGGGCTCTAAGCTGTCAAGGTCAGGAAATACAAATAATAAATACTGAATTATTGTTTCTTTGTGAGAGATACTATCATACTACTCTCTCAGAGTGGAGGCAGAAAAAACATCACTTGCAACGTGCCGGAGAAATGTAAACACTACATGGGATGCAAATACAAGGCGTGAGAATCATGGAACATCTTTTTCTGCATAATGTGGAAGTTGTTTTTAATATTCAGGAAGAATTTAGTTAGAGACAGATCCTTTAAAAACATTTCTGCAAAAGGATCATCCACAATAAACGTGGTATAGAAGAGGACATAATATGGCTACATAATTTGTAAAAATCAGGAAAAATAATAATTGAAATAGGTTCATATTAAAAGTGATACTTAACTCAGGAGTTAAATCTTAAAATGCATTTAAGTACCTTAAAAGAGGTAACCTTTTTATCCCATAGTTCTCTTTAGGGTCATGGGAGGAAATATACTAACGTCCTCCCATGACCCAAAGCTCAGTATATAGCGAGCTATTGCGAGCGATATACTGAGACCGCCTCAATACTGTTGAGATCCGCCCAGCTGGCTGATTGACAGCTGGCTCTGCCTATCTAGAGGCAGAGCCAGCTGTGCCCGCCCCATCCCCCATCTGTTCCTCCAGACAGTGCTGGAAAATCGGAGAGGGGAGGGGGGGAATCCCTGTGGGGAGCGGTGGCTGACAATCACTGCTCTCTGCAGGGAGATGATCGGAAAGTGAGCGAGCGACAGTATGTGTTCGCTCACTTCCCGATCAATAGAGCCGACGTGTGACAGTTTCATTGTCACACATTGGCTCTAGCTATGAGAGTGAATAAAAATCACTCACATCATAGTTTTCCTTTAACTATTAACAAAAATGTATCTTATTTGTGCATCACTCGGCTGTAGATCCTCAAATCATCCCTGAATTGGTGCCAACACTGTCCTTCCTTCTGGAGGGTGGCTACTTTTGTTCCCCATGGTCCCCGTGTGTGTTGTGAAGTAACCACCACTCCAAACTCGCTCCCGTGATGGACTATAATTTCAATACAAAGTGAGCTTGGAGTGGTGGCTTCTTTACAACACACATAGGGACCAAAAGAAGGAAGGAAGGAAGGACAGTGTCAGCACCAATTCAGAGATGACTTGAGGATCTACAGCCGAGTTATACACAAATAACTATAAACAAAAATGTATCTTAAAGGTACTTGAATGTATTTTTAAGAACTGACTCATGAGTTTAGTGTCACTTTAAAACAGATTCTGTAAAACCCACAGAAGTCACAAACCCGCAACAGCTTAAGGAATAAACACTGAAGACTGGTTACGCTGAATTATTTGACGCCGTATATCTTCCAGGACCTAAGGGGATGAGCACCATTAAGCTTGTAATCTTATGTGCAATCCTATTACATGGGTCAAATGCCATAACTGGAACATCTGTGTCACTGTCTGAAGAAAACCCAGCATGCAGCAGACACGCTGAAAAGGCTCATGGTTTGCAGCAGTTAGCTGCACTGTGAAATCTCACGGCTGTAGGCAAGTCACCTTGGCACACTTTCCGAGCTTTTTGTTAGGTTTGAAGTCTTAGTTTCAGAAATCTTCCCAGAACCTTGTTATTTCTCACATATCCATTCCAATTGTACTGCCCTGAGACTTGACAGCACATCTTTTTCCAAAGCATAATGAAAACAGCATGGCCAGAGGTCCTGTTTATGAGTTTTATAGATGGAAATACATGGTAACATCATTTATCGTAACATTACAGATCCCAGCAACACCACATGTTGCCCCTTCCTTTCTTGTCTGACTGAAGTTTCACAGGACAAAATCTTTTTTTTTCTTTCTCTCCAGATGTCACCATAAGCTGAACTTTCACATGCAAAATTAACCAATTTTGTGATAACAAACACGCTAAAAATATCACATTCCAAACAGACATCTCTGACGTAGATTAAGCAGTACTGGTGAAATATATGGACGAGCAGGGAAATATTCAAGGACATCAAGTCAGGTCAAATATAGCAATACCAAAAGTAGCTTATGAATCAGCATTACTGTTAGTAAGTCATAGACTTTCCAGACTTCAACAATTACAATTTCCAGGGTGATTTAGAATCATCTGTGCTAAATATTTTAAACAGATTCTCTGTAGAGGTTAAATATTTATCTAATGTGTTCCTGCAGTAGGCTGGTTAATGTTAACGTAGTCAGATTTGAGATATTTGTCAGGTAAATAATCCAACAGTAAAAATATCTATTCACCTTCTGACCTACAAGCATGTATTATATTGCTTTAGGACACTTCAGGTTCCCAGGAAACGTGAAAGCCACAGCTCAATTAGGGAAAAAGTATTTTGGCCAGTTTGGAATTATTATTTGAGTGATAGCGTTTTCTGTAAGTGGAACTATCTGGGGATGTCTGGTAAAGTTGAACATATCATAGACACATTGACAATTATGTGATTCTACTCAGCATATCAGGTATCAGCTAACAACCATCTAATATCCCTGTGTACCTGTACTACCTGGGCTGGTTGCTATGGAATGTGCTGATAATATACAAACTGTAAATCTTAAAAAAATATGAAACCCTAAATGCTCCTCCTATCACATAAGAGGTACATGCAACAACAAATGGCATCACCTAATGGCATTCATTTGTCGTCCTTCGGTGTGCTCCAACACTTCTGTTAAACTAACCATATCACTTAGAAGAACTCATCGGCTATTAGGTTGGTATTGATGAGCTCTGACTAGACTGATCAGTAACATAAATGACATTGCATTCACTGCAATTACACTCCAGCATTTGACAGATTGAAGCTGGGACATTGTGCAACCCTGTGGGCAACAATTTTACATTTAATATTCAATCTTTGAGTAATTGGCAAATACAGTGCCTCTGGGAGTTGATGCTATTCTCACGCTGCAGGTCTACTAGGTAGAAGATGTCTGACTCAAAGCAGACTCTGATCTGAAGATCTGAAAATACCCACAATGGTCCTGGTAGTGTCCATGTCTAGGTTTGGGGTAAATCAAGGGAGTTCTGGAGTAGCAGTTTAAAGCAAAAGGGGGCTAGAAATAATAATGTAATTTGGCTAAGCTAACTTCTACACTGTTGTATTATGTGAAGTGTGAATTTTAATGATAGATCTACTTAACAATGTGACCATTAGCAGTTGTTCATATGCTATAAGTGCAGAATGTCTTTGATAGGTGCAGTAAAAGCTGTGTCCTTTAAGTATCATATTAACACCTTCAAACAGAGATACAATCATTATTGACTTACTTATTCGTAAGTGTCAATTCCTAAAGTGTATGGCAGGACAAAAAAGTACCGAAAAATACTAGATGATCTGCCAGAAATCCACTCAGTACCTATATCCTGTTATGGGATAAAAACACATAGCTTTTTGTGGGCTTAGTGTTGTTAGCTCTGCCCAGTTTTCTTTTGCTAAAAGGCATTCTGTGAATGGACGAGGGCAAAGGAGGGGTGGGTGAAAGACAGGATCTCCCCCTGTCCGTTCACAGGATGCTTTGCATTTGATGAAAATAATACAAGAAGTTTAAATCAGCTAAAAACATTCCAAATGCATTAAAACAAAAAGTGTGTAAAGTCTTACATTGTGATATCTTTAGAAAGAAGCCAAAAAAGCCTTTCACTTGCCAGCATGTTGTAGAGAAAGACCCTTGCACTCTGTGCCGAAGCAGTGGTCTCTCTGCGGAGGTTAAAGTCTCCCCTACTCTCTAGACTATTACACATCACTGCCCCCTACATTATATTACTATATGAATCCAAGGCTGCCCTTAAAGACATTGGAAACTGTTTTTACCTTTTCATATTCAAATCCATGCTTTTCCTTGAACCCATTCCTGCACATAGTATAATTATAGAAACGCGAGTTCTTAACCAGTCCTAGCCATTCTCTCCATCCAGGGGGGATATAACTCCCATTGTATTCATTGAGGTACTTTCCAAAAAATGCTACAGAGAAGAAGAAAAGTTTATGAGCAAGATGAAAAGCCAATCTAAGGCAAACAAATACTAAATAAATGTAGAGCTATACAAATTATGACATACATTAGTTATATTTCATATAAGCCTGGAATGTGGCCTTCCTTTTTAGTTTTTGATCTGTCTCTGTCCAGTTTTTACTGCTATCCAAAGCTCCACTAGAGAGAATTCCCCTCACTTCATGTCATGTTGACAAAAGTTTCACTAGAGAGACAGTGTGGGAAAATCTGCAAGAAGGGCAAAGCAATGCCAAGCTGGCAGAGGTTCTAGCTTTCCCCTACTAAAAAAAAAACTATAATTTTTTTTGTCTGTGTCTCTGTTGCAGATTTTCTCTCACTTCTGGTGAAACAGTTGTCACTGTGACAGTGAGTGAGGGACACACTTTCTAAAGGAGCCCCCTATATTTATATATTACACATACATGATATATTTCCTTTGTGTTGCTTGCTCCTTACTTAAGGCATATTTTTTCAGCCCTTATCTTCTTCTTCTTGCACTGACAATTTCATAGGAAAACAAAATACATTGTGGGTTTGGTGTGCACGGTTGGCTGCAGTGACATAATGACTTATTTGCAAGCCTCTACCACAAATCCCTTGAGGAATAACTCCATGGATTTGTATGAAAGTAGATCACCTATTGATAACTGTTACTTTGGGGATGATCACAGAATTATCATCTTTTTTAGTATTTAGTATTTTTTTTCTTAGTTAATAAACAGCTAAGCAAAAGACAAACTTATCAGTATCACTACTGTCAACTGTAACTTGTTTCAAGAGACAATGTAATCTACATCTGGACAGATAAACCCTTATAAAACTATGGAAGTTCTTAGACATATTTTCTGCTCAGATGGAATGTATGTAATGTAATACTGCATTTTGGCCACAGATAGAGATAAGGAGCATAAGTATTTCCTATGCTCCTCCGCTCCATCTATTGGCCATAATACAAAATATATCTAACATTGTTCGTTTTTGCGTGCAAATCTATTTGGACAAAATGCACATTAAAAAAAGATTTGTAGGGTGAATGGCTCTACAAATTGGTTATAAATAGACCACATAGTGTTTATGGTGGATATGTTTTCAACAGTAAGTTGTAAAAATGGGTGAAAATAACTTTGTTCCATCTGCTTTGCTACAAAACTAGTAAATAATTATTCTAATATTCCTACGTCAAAAAGTAAAATAAGTCGTAAATTGTTAGTTTCATATTCTACAAGCCTGGTAAAGAATAGATGTAGCAATGTATTTACCTGTCCTGTATCCCGTATTATTGAGGTACACTGCAAATGTACGTGGTTCATGTATAGCTTGCCAAGATGGAGAGGAGCAATTTTCATTGTTGGTAAAAATATTGTGGTTGTGGACATATTTCCCAGTTAGCAAAGATGAGCGGGAGGGACAACACATGGGAGTGGTCACAAATGCATTTATGAAATTTGCACCTCCTTCCTCCATTATTTTCCTGGTCTTGTTCATCACCTGCAACGAACCTGAAATAAATAAAATTCTTTGCTAATGTATAAACTATTTATGTGCCAAACCATAACTATTTATGTGCCAAACCATGCATCATGACACAAAGCTAACTTCAAGCAAGAAGGACCTACAGGCAAGTAATATAGTCTATTAAAAAAAACAACGGTGGTCCTCTTACCTCTTTAAACTTCATCTTAAGCTTGCACACGGCTGTTATCAATGAAACTATCATAAGGTGCCTGCTCTTACTGGTCCAGTGCCACCCAAATTCTAAATCTGCCATGGCAAACCCAATAAATCTTGTTACTTTTTAGGCTGTTTAGGCAAAGGCAGCCAATCAGTGCTTCTAGGATAGATACTGTTAGAAATTCGTACCAATGTTCATACACAAAATCTTCTCAGAACATTCGATAATTCAATCAAATAAAGTCAAAGACTTGACAATTGTTTTCAAAATTACATTTGGTTTTAAAATTAGATTTTCGAAATGAATTGAATTTCTCACACAAAAACTACATTCACTGTTAGAATTTCATTACTGGTCCCTTTTTTTTCTGCTACTACAGTCCAAATCAGTTGCCAACTTGACCCAATTAACTATTAGAAAATCGAATGAGCATTCTGAAAACAAGTTTCTTTGGACAAAATTCTAACCGTGTATACCCAGCTTTACTCCCAGTGGCCAATGGGGCCCAGACAGAGCCCACACCAACCAACAGGACAGTATTTTAGCAGTGCCGTATGGCAACTGGATGATAACATTTCCAAGTGCTGAGTGTTGACTTCATTCTATAATGGGGTGCAGGGGATATACTTGAACACTAGCCCTGCAGAAAAAGCAGACCTCATGTTGCTTCAAACAGTGCTTCTAGCAGTAGATTAATGTTAGAGGTGCCTATAGGAGTATGGAGACAGATACCCTTCAGTTTACTGTGGTCTATGATAACCCACAAACATCAGTGTCAATTTCCAGTCCTAACAATTTAGGCAAGATGAGGCAATGACTGTTAATGTTCCTATGGTACCTTTGTAGACCTTAAACTTGTTCTAAAAATAACTCTCTGCAGTTACAATTAATGCAAACTAGGTATACATCGTGAGGCAAGGCAAATATAATACTTAAATACAGTACCTAACAAGGATAATTACAATGTATCATGTACTTCTTTGATCACAACATAAACAGCAATGTAAGTGTATACAGAGTCGCTGAGATAAGGCACATAAAAAGTCCTCACCTAGTTCCACATCCTGGTCATCAGTGAGAACCAAAATAACATTCGGCCTGATGTTCCTCCTGTCCACTGGCAAACGGCCTCTAGATTTTCCTGCTTTCAGTGTTGAGCCGTGGCTTGCTGGAAGCTCCATGTCCAGTATCATAAAAAGAAGTGCAAAACAGTAATACTTCATTGTAGAGGTGTTGCCGGCTCTGCTGTGACCAGATGATGCTGTGTGTCCCTTCTGCTATTTGTAGGCAATCGTTTGGCTGAAATGCAATTAATAAAAAGTCATTATATGCCTGAATATGTCCAATTATATCAGCATAAATTTACATGAATTAAAATGTGACATGAATGATCTCCTGGCCAGACCAAGAAATAGTTATCTGCAATGATTAGCTAAGGGAATATCTCAAGCAATTGGAAGAGATGTGAAGCAAGCCAAGTATAAACTGCGCTCATTACAGTAGGTAGACTACGTAACGTACCTGTATCTTTAAACATTTATAGATGAAGCTCCATGTAAATTAGCTAAAACAAGGGACTGCAATTTCCCTGTTTATATTTAGTAATAACAATCTCATAGAACACCTACAGGCTGGATATAATTACACTAAAAAATGTATTCCAAAAGAGTGTGCAAAGAGCAATAATAATTTGCAGCCCTCCACAAACATGAGGTTTGAGGTTGTAGTTTTCTAACTGTTAAAGATAACTGAAAAACATTTGGTTGCTATGGGTGATTGTCAAATATTGCTGTCTATACCAAGTAATAAAGATCCAAGTATATGAAGATAAATAAAAAAAGGAAGACTGTAGAAAGTCAGTATGAAGGAAGCCATTGGTGACCTCTCCCGTCTCCCGAGCATACTAGTTCTTTCATACTCATCAGATGTATTCAGCACTTTCTTACTGACTCTCACAGGGTTACTCACAAAAGGTGAAGAGTTTGGAGAAGGCAGGAGAATTGAACAATCTAGGACGAAATAGCTGATTTGGAAAAAATCTCCAAATCTTCAACTCAGTTTCCAGTTCAGCAATGTTGTCCTAGATTGCTCACTTCTCCCAGCTCTTCATCCTTTTGTGAAAAACCTTCCAAGTATGCAAATTAGGAGCTCTGACTTCCTTGATCTGCTTGATTGTTCCAGGTCCAAAGACTGCCAGGCAACTCACATTTTCAGAAGCCTGTCAGCCATGGTAGCCCCATAGTAGACTTGCACATGTTTAAAAAGGTGAGTTTATACTGAATGTTGTTGAAGGGGGTATGTAATTATATAATAGTACACATCTGATGAAGTTGCAGGAGAGACAGACTAAAGAACAATATGAAAGAGCATACACATAGCAAGCAATCAGAACCCTGTATTCACTAATCTGATTATTGATGAACATATACCAATTAAATCTCGGTGGTGGCTATGGATAACTACCTGCTTATCACTATACTTTAAAAAAAATGCTGCCTGTAAAAGTAAAAAATTAATTTAATTAGATGGACTCTGAGGCATTATAAATGTCTGCCTGTGATAAAATAAAGCTGTGAGCCAAACACTGATTGACAGCGCTGACAATCAGGTTTAGCACTGTAGGAACCCCAAACTTTTGCTCATCAATCAAGATTGTCAGAAACTCCAACCTATACATAATCCGTGAAGCCCCAGATTATCCCATAATGCTCCCTGCTCTATACAAACCCACAATTTTCTCCACAAGCTTGCTTGGTCCTTGTCACTCAGGAAGATGTATTACTGGATCTTACAGGCAAAACTTGCGCAATGTGGCTAATGGGAAGCTCACAAAAAACGTGTAAGGCAGCTGTTTAAAAGTTTTTTGTTTTTTAATTGACCACAAATAAATGAATACACTTAAAAATTCTAAAAAATGTAAAATAAATCTGCTACAATCAGTTTAATCTATAAATCAAACACTGAAAAAAGTTGTAGGGAGTCTCCTACCTCCGCTTATAAGAAAGGAGCTGGCTGGGATTCATTACATGATCAGCAGTTTAGCACCTGTGACATTCGACAAAGCAGTGTTTAGACATGCAACATTAACCCGAATCAGACAAGCAAGCAGAACTAATTAAGTGAGAAATATCCATCGTTGGAATACTGAGGGGGTTAAGGAATCAGTGTGGGTGATTCCTGTCAGTCAGTTGAAAAAAAAAATCTCTTCCTTGCTTAAATTCCCAAACTATAATGAAGTTTTAATAGAGTGTTATTTGACTCCTTACATCAGTCAGTGCTGATTATAAATCCAGGGAGGGCACACATTTTTAAGTTAAACTACAGGCACATATAAAAAACGCAATTCACTAAAAAAAAATGTTTTACCCCATCACGCACAGACCAATGTGGATTTTGATTATCGTTCGTTAGCAATACTAACTGACCGAAATTTTCCTTTGCGCATATGCAGTGTTCATGTTGTGATTTTTTGCGTACGAAAGTGCCACTAAACCATAGATTTTTCCTACGATTGGAAAAAGGTTTTCCAGCCTGACCGATCGAGGAAATTCGGCCAGTTGTACAGTAATTCTGATCGCTCAATTCCCATCAACTGACCGCTTATCATACAAAAACCAGATCTTGTTCGATTTCCGAACAATAAACGCAAAGTGAATGGCCACCTTAAGGGCTCAGGCACACAGGCGAATTAAATGACTCCCATCTACGCTGAATCTTTCTGCCAGAAGCTGACAGAAAAAACAGCATTAAAAAAATGTGCGTTTTGGGCGTGTAATTACTCACATTTAGAGGTGTAAAGAGAGAAATTAGAGTAAACTCATTCTATTGACTAGAATATTAATTTATTCTAGCCACTTGAACGAATTTAGGTGCATACGTGTGCATTTACATGCGCATGTTCATGAATTATGCGACTAAACTCTTCTCCAAACGCAGGTTTTAAGCATTTTTTATGTCCCTAAATTCTGCTCAAAAATATGGATGTAAAGGCCATACTGTGCATGGATTAGCCTTTCTCGATTAGGTGCTGTAACAGTCTGGGGTGCCTTGTGGTTTCCTCAGGGTTGCCTCCAAATTTTCACACAGCGTCATGCCTTTCCATAGTACAGACAGGCCAGCCAACAGCAGCATGCAAATTAATGACGGTTATCCATGGAGGGTGGGATCCATTCAAAAAAGGATAAAAGTACCCCTCCCTCCAGGCCTGCTACACCTCCTGCTCTCTGCCATGCTGTGCGAACTCAAATGTACAGGCCATCTTTTATGACCATCTCCTTCAGAACATTATTACATGTGATTTTCCACTTACCATAAATATTTTAAAATATTGTAAAATAAAATGTAAAAATCAGCTCTTTTTGAAATGCATTTATCAAAGCAACAGGAAAATAGTAAATAAAGTGAACTTGCATACATAAGTAGTGAATATCATTCAGTAGATTTAAAGGGAAGCTATAAGGATAAAAACATGGGAAGCTGTCATTTCCATCTGCAGTGCCATCATCCATGCGATACTACTTAGTGATTTTCTGAGGTTTTTTGGCTGTTGCTGCTGCCAACAGACCGAAATTCTTAATGGTCCAAATCTTTCTTATAAATCTGTTACCTAGACAAACAGAATCTATTTTTATATATGAAGAATTTTGGAAACATGTTCCTTGATTCAAGAAAAAGGTTCCAGACTAACAGCTATGATGCAGGGGACAGCGTAATTGCCCCAAAACAGGTAGGACGTACAATTCTATGAACAATATACATATCCGTTATTAAGACAGATATGCTTGCCTTTTATCATTGAGATTCACACCTCTGAGATGAGTTCTGTTCTCTTGTGTTATTGTACTGTTTACTATCGCCATTTGCCAGGCATTACAGAATGGGGGAGGATTGATGTGTTTTACCTGGATCACTCTATGGCAAGTTATATGTGGGTATAAAATAAACCTCTGTCCTCAGCATCACCAAATCTTCTCCAATATCTTCTCACTGTCTCCAGTAAAAGGTTTCAGAAGCTGAATGTTGCTTGAAGCTTTTTTTATTTAATGGAACTTGTTCTTTGGTTGTAATTGTCTTTTATAATGGAAATACCTGTATAGACAGTGGTAGTTTGTACTATAATAAAAATCCCTTGTAATTAACTTTTGTTGAGAAAAAAAGTAAAGACATGATGGGTCTACCTGATTTTGTTTTAAAGCTGTAATTTCTGCTAAAAGCCATGCCAAATAACAGAGCATGAGCTTATGAAGGATAATACAGGAGGATTTAATTACATTTTTCTCATAATCGGAGTGAGAGAAGGCAGGGAGGCCCTCAGGGCAGACAGGTCAGCCATGAAAAACTGGACACATGTGAGATACTGTACTCACAGTACTGCCTGCAGCACAAATAGTTCAGGAACATGCCTCCATTGCACTGTAGTAAAGAGCCAGGGAAAAGGTAAATTGAATTTCCTTAACAACTAGATCCTTGCCATCAAAATTATTTTGCTACAGTCCGGATCAAAACGTTTCTGAAATCCACAACTTGTCTTTTAGTCATCACCTGGAAAGACTTGTTTTCCCTACATACAGCCTTTATTAGCACTCTGGCAATTCTACAGAACATATTTATCAAAAGCAGGAGAATCTAGGCTCATTCAATGTCCCTGCACATTAGCAACATCTACAACCTGTATTTTAGTCATTACCTGGAAAGAATTGGTTTTTCTACATACAGCCTTTACTAGCACTCTGGCAATTCTACAGAACATATTTATCAAAAGCAGGATAATCTAGGCCCATTCACTGTCCCTGCACATTAGCAGAGTAGCAAATGTCCAGTGAATGCATGCAGTGGTGAGTAAGCAGACATCAGCTGGCAAATCACTGATAAAAGCAAAGATTCGCTATCCACAAATAATGAATGTTAAAACAGGTTTGGCCAACCTGTGCAATTCACTGTATTATTACTGTAGGGGAGTGCAGGAGTATTGCTGGTTTGGTTCCCAGGAGTCAGAAGTTCTTTTAATGGGAGTCCCTCCATGTCACTCGTGGTGTTGTGGCTAGTGTTTTTAAGAGAGGTGAGATGCACTGGCAAAGTATATGGATTTCTCCTAGGAAGGCAGGTAAGGCTGATTGCATTCCTCCTAAGAATAAATGTTGGGTCATTTAGCAGCCCACAGTAGCTAGGGCACAAGTCTCATCTTTATCATATCTCTCCATCGCTAACCAAAGACTGTTCAAGGATTGTGTTACCATTACTCAAGATGGCTGTTTTTACATATCTTCTTTATTCAGTAAACATTCTTTCAAGGAGCCTGC